GACTGAAACTGGAAACCAACCCCAAAGGAAAAAACCCAAAACACCCCAAATCATGGAGACTGAATGGTATGCTATTAAACAATGAATGGGTCAAGAATGAAATTAGGGAAGAAATCAAAAAGTTTCTGGAAACAAATGAAAATGATCTCACAACAGCCCAAAACTTATGGGACACAGTGAAGGTAGTCCTGAGAGAGAAGTTTATAGCAATACAGGCCTACCTAAAGAAGATAGAAACATTTCAAACAAACAATCTCACTCTACGCCTGCAAGAATTCAAGGAACAACAACAAAAACAGCCCAAAGCAAGTACAAGGAAGGAAATAACTAAGATCAGAGCAGAACTAAATGACATAGAGACCGAAAGCACAATTCTAAGGATCAATGAATCCAGGAGTTGGTTCTTTGAAAAGATAAACAAAATAGACAAGCCTTTAAGTAGGCTCATCAAGAAAAGAAGGGAACGGACACAAATAAACACAATCAGAAATGAAAGAGGAGAGATTACAACTGATACCACAGAAATAGAAAGGATTGTAAGAAATTACTATGAAGAACTGTATGCCAAGAAATTTGAGAACCTAGGGGAAATGGACACATTTCTAGAAAAATATAATCTTCCAAAACTCAATGAAAAAGAAGTAGAACACCTGAATAGACCAATAACAGCAAAAGAAATTGAAGCAGTAATCAAAAAACTCCCATCACACAAAAGCCCCGGTCCAGATGGGTTCACAGGAGAATTCTACAAAGCATTTAAGGAAGAGCTAACCCCCATTCTTCACAGACTATTCCAAAAAATCCAAAAGGATGGAAAACTCCCAAACTCCTTTTATGAAGCCAGCATCATCCTAATTCCAAAACCAAATAGAGATACAACAAAGAAAGAAAACTTCAGGCCAATATCACTGATGAACATAGACGCTAAAATCCTCAACAAAATATTGGCAAATCGCATCCAACAATATATCCATAGATTATACACCATGACCAAGTGGGATTCATCCTAGGGATGCAAGGATGGTTCAACATTTGCAAATCAGTAAATGTAATTCATCACATAAACAAAAGCAAAGACAAAAACCACATGATCATATCAATAGATGCGGAAAAAGCTTTTGATAAGGTACAGCACCCATTTATGATAAAAACACTCAGCAAAGTGGGAATACAGGGAGCATTCCTCAATATAATAAAGGCCATTTATGAGAGACCTACAGCCAATATCATACTCAATGAGAAAAAACTAAAAGCTTTTCCACTAAGATCAGGAACAAGACAAGGATGTCCACTTTTACCACTTCTATTCAATATAGTATTAGAAGTTTTGGCCGCAGCTATCAGGCAGGAAAAGGAAATAAAAGGCATCCAAATAGGAAAGGAGGAAACAAAACTGTCACTGTTTGCAGATGACATGATAGTGTACATGGAAAATCCTATAGACTCTACCCAAAAACTGCTCAAACTAATTAATGAGTTTGGCAAAACAGCAGGATAGAAAGTCAATATCCAGAAATCAAAGGCATTTTTGTATACCAACAGTGAATCAGCAGAAGCAAAAATCAAGGAAAAAATCTTATTCAATATAGCAAAAAGAAAAATAAAATATCTGGGAATAAACCTAACCAAGGAGGTAAAAGATCTGTATGCAGAAAACTACACAGCACTGAAGAAAGAAATCAGGTAAGACACAAACAAATGGAAACATATACCTTGTTCATGGATTGGAAGAATTAACATCATCAAAATGTCCATACTACCGAGAGCAATATACAGATTCAATGCAATACCTATTAAAGTACCAATGGCATATTTCACAGACATAAAACAAACACTTGAAAAATTTATATGGAATCATAAACGAGCCCGAATAGCAGCTGCTCTTTTGAGAAAGAAGAACAAAGTAGGAGGGATCACAATACCTGATATCAAACTGTATTACAAAGCCACTGTAATCAAAACAGCCTGGTACTGGCATAAAAACAGGCACATAGACCAATATAACAGAACAGAGAGCCCAGAAATCAACCCAACTCTCTATAGTCAATTAATATTTGACAAAGGGGGCAGTAACATCAAATGGAGTAAAGATAGCCTCTTCAGCAAATGGTGTTGGGAGAACTGGACAGCTACGTGCAAAAAAATGAAACTTGAGCACCAACTTACACCATACACCAATATAAATTCAAGGTGGATAAAAGACTTAAATATAAGCCATGACACCATTAAAGTCCTAGAGGAGAACATTGGCAAGAAAATCTCAGATATTCCACACAGCAACATTTTTACCGATATGTCCCCTAGAGCAAGGAATATAAAGGAAAGAATAAACAAATAGGATCCCATCAAAATAAAAAGCTTCTGCATGGCTGAAGAAAACAGTATTAAATTAAAAAGACAACCAACTGTATGGGAAAACATATTTGGCAATGATACCCCAGACAAAGGTTTAATCTCCAAAATATACAAAGAACTTACACAACTCCACTCTAAGAAGACATTTAACCCAATTAAAAAATGGGAAAAGGACTTGAACAGACACTTCTCCAAAGAGGACATACAGAATATCCAGAGACACATGAAGAGGTGCTCTATATCGTTAGCTATCAGAGAGATGCAAATTAAAACCACAATGAGATACCACTTTACACCAGTCAGGATGGCTATCATAAACAAAGCAACAAACAACAAATGTTGGAGAGGTTGTGGGGAAAAGGGGACCTTAGTTCACTGTTGGTGGGATTGCAGACTGGTACAACCATTATGGAAAACAGTATGGAATTTTCTCAGAAAAATAAAAATCGACCTGCCTTTTGACCCAGCAATTCCACTGCTAGGATTATACTCCAAGAATCCTAAAACATCAATATCAAAGAACCTATGCACCACAATGTTCATAGCAGCACAATTTACAATAGCCAAGAGTTGGAAGCAACCTAGATGCTTGTCAGTAAATGAATGGATCAAAAAATTATGGTACATATACACAATGGAATTCTATGCAGCAGATAGAAAGAAGGAGCTACTACCCTTTGCAACAACATGGATGGAACTGGAAAGCATTATGCTGAGTGAAATAGGCCAGGTATTGAACGACAAATACCATATGATCTCACCTTTGACAGGAAGCTAAACAACAAGACAAACAAACAAACAAACAGAATAAAAGCAAAGACACTGAAATAGAGAACAAGTGGGCAGCGACCAGAGGGGAGAGAGAAGGGAATTTAAGGGGAAAAATGGGGAGGGATTTTGAGGAACAAGTATGAAAGACACAGGGATGAGGACTGGGTGTGGGGATGGGAGGGAGGTGGGGAGACGGGGCAGGGGGGGCTGGGATGAGAGAAATAGACAAAAAACTGTACTTAAAAAATAACTAAATAAAAATAAAAAAATTAAAAAATAAAATATTATGTAAATTCCCAAAGCTGAAAAAAAAAAAAGAGCTTCCAACAGAGGCCCTACTGCAGCATGAGGTGAGAACCCTCTGTTTCCATTACACAGGGCCAGGCCACAGTGAGCAGCCCCAGCATGGGGACAACCAACCCCCAGACTGTTGCCTGACATCTATGTCTAATAGGCATCTCAAATTCAAAAAGCCATATCCAAAAGCATGTTCTAGATCTTTCCTCAAACACTACCCTCGTGCTTTCCCTATGCTGGTCAGTCATTCAGGCCAGAGACCATTCTTTATATATGTCCAGAGTCAACCCTGCTCCCCTCCTCCTCTGTTACTGCTACCAGCAGTGTTGGTGGCAAAATTGGACCTTGATTCTTGAGTTTGGCAAGGAAAGATTTCAGAGCCAAGAACTCAAATTATAAAAGAAAGCTTATTTAGAAAGTTACTGAGGTAGTAGAAAGGCTCTTGGAGTTTAAGAGAGAGAAAGACACAGGTAATACCTCTGGGGGGAAAGGAAAAGGTGCAGGTGTGCTTCCTGTGGGAAAATGTGCGCTGGGTCCTTCATCTTGAGGGTTTTTAAAGGCTGGGAGTTTAGGGGAAGTCTTAGGGGAGATCTCAATAGCATATTCATCAGCTTTATGCTGATGTGCCAAAATAAGATTTATTCCCCTGTCTTCATCCATCCTTGGGTGTGGTTGGCACGAATGGCACTGATTGGATTTTTGTTATCTATCTCCCTGACTAAAGTGGTTTAAGCTATTTGCACCCTAGTTGGGGAGAAGTATAAACCATTTACTCTTAAGTGTCCTTGGTTAGGTAAGATAGGATTTTGTGATTTAGAAAATGGCTATAAACTGCTTGGCTCTTTAACTATCTGTCTCAGTTTCCCTATTCCACTTGTCCTGGCTGACTAGCCTGTCTCACTACCACCTGACCTGAGAAATCTCTCCCTGGGTTATGGCAAAACCCACCAACTGGTTTTCAGATCCCTTCATTACTGGGTCTCCACATGGTAGCCAAAGTGACCTTCACCTTGAGTCAGGTCACTCTTTTGCTCAGAGCTCCCTTACCTTCTATCTTACTCAGAGAAACAACACACCATAATCTGGCCCCTGAGAATGTGCATGGTCTGGCCTATTACTCTTCAGATATTCTCCCTGCTCGTCCCCTCCACACGTGCTGGCCTCAAGATCTTCACACCTGCTATCCATTTTGCCTAAAACATTCCTCTCTTACACTAGGGAGCTACACAACTGATGCCATCGGTGGGTCCCAATATCACCTTACCAAGGCTGCTTCGTCTCACTTCCACATCACATGTTCAAGTTCTCTTCCTGGATTGTATTTCTCCATAGGTGTTTTTTCTCCCAGTGAGATAGAATCCTGAGTCTGGGTTCTGTGTGTCCTGGCACCTGGAATGAGGCATGGTGTACATGAAGCAGGTGCTGAAGAAATATTTATCAGACATCCAGTGGCAGCAGGCCCTCCCACATGAGTTGATGTCTCATGAATGGTGTACCACTCACCATGAGGACCAGGAGGAGGACCTGGAGGAGGCTCCTCTAATGTCTCATGGCCTTGTTCTTCTCTCACAGAAACTATGCCCCAGACTTCCATCATCTTCAACAGCATACTTGGGCCCAGCTGTAGTGGACAGGTGCAGCCCATAATGGGGGAGCAAGGAGGCGGGGCCAGTGGCTCCAGGGACCTCATCTTCCAGGATGGACACCTCATCTCCGGGTCCCTGGAGGCCTTGATGGAGCACCTTGTGCCCACAGTGGATTATTACCCTGATGTGAGTGCCTGAGCCTTGAGAAAGGTCGGGGTGACCTGGGTTCCAGGGGAAGCTCTTTCTGGGATGTGAAGGGAGGGCCAGGGGAGGATCATGGCAGACCAGTGGGGAGTGACTTCCCTGTGGCCTCCAGGAAGGTGGAAGATGATCCTGGTAGCATAAGCAAGCAACATAGTTTGTGGGCATGGCCCAAGGGGAGGAAGAGACGTCTAAAGGCAAGGCCAATTCCTCAGAGTCTGGGTGAGGCCCTTCTCTTCACTTGTCCTGTCCCTGAGTTGGGAAGTTTGCTTTGTGCATGAACCACCATAGTCCAGAATAAAGAGGGGATAGCCCTGATACACCTGTTGGCATTCGGAACCTAGGAAACAGGCCCACACCACCCTGGCCAGGCTTCACCTATAATCCAGAGCCTCCCTCTTCAACTCAAAATGAGATGAGTACATTCCTGGAACAGAGAGAGAGTTCACTTGTCATGTGAGGTTCCCTACTGCCTCTGATAGCAGTGGTGATGGAACTGGAAAAGTTGGCATTTGTGCCGCCTCTCATATCCAGAACTAATAAGTAGAGACAAGGATTAAATGTTTATGGGTACTTGATTCAGATGCCGACATTCCAAGAAGATGGCAGTTATATACCCTAAAAACCCTCTTTTTTTTAAAAAATTTTATTTAGTTACTTTTCAAGTACATTTTTTTTCTCTCCCCCCCCCCCGCCCGGTCTCCCCCCTCCCTCCCATTCCCCCCCCCCCAGTCCTCATCTCTGTGTCTTTCATACTTGTTCCTCAAAATCCCTCCCCCTTTTTCCCCTTAACCTCTTAAGATCTTATTGCAAAACATTTTTATAAGGAAAAGAAAAGAGTAGGTAAGTGGTTTAGGAAAAGGTTAATCAGGTAAGAATTGCAGTCAGGTGGGGATTTTTCTAATATTTCCTTATCTGCTGACCAGTAATTCTTTATCTACATCATGGATATTCCCTTCCTGGAACACTGGCTCAGATGCCACCTCTATTGCTTGCAGACCCTCTGGAGCACAAAGGTTGAATTGCTTGTTGACCTCCAGGAGTCATGTAGGTCATGTGTTCCAGTTTCTGTAACAACGGTTTTCCACATGAATTAATCAGTTAAGTCTAACAACTATAACAAAAGCTAAAATGTTTAACTCTTGTGTTCCCCTATCATTCCCCTCTGTTAGTTTTAATCATCTTATTTCTTGCAGACTAGTTTTATATGGAGGTAGTCATTTTACTGTTGAGCATATAGGAGTAAATTCTCCTACATATTAAAAACCATCCTGCAGGCAATTTGATGTGACTGAAGGATAAAATGTATTAGTGATGGTTTTGCAACTCTTCTCCAAATTTACTGAGAACATAAAATGGTATTTAGTACAGTTGACAAAGATTGTACACTCTCCAGCTGGGGCTACATTAGTGATTTTTAAAGGAAACATTTTTCTGTTCTTAGAGTTATAATAGGTCCCCAATTATATTAATAATTTTGTAGGCTTTCCAGGGGAGTACAAACACCTACAAGGCATGAAGTGAAAGTTTGTTCAACATAGGTTCCTCCTGTAAGATAAAAGTGAGAGATATTTAGAAAATGTTTACTAAATATATCCAAATATTTTTATCTTGTTTGAAAGAAATAAGTTCTCCATAACATGGGAAAAGAACATATCATTGTTTTCAAAAGATGACTTTCAGGTCTTCATGTGGTTCAGCGCTCCATTGTTCTTCTGGTGCTTTCTTTATTCTGGTGTGATGAAGCCAAGGTTTTATTCCTGACAATTTCATCATGGTTGGGGCAGTGAGAAGTACATCCCAAGGTTCAGCCAACTTTCCTTCTATTTGGCTTTCCTGCCTTCCAAGTCATAGGTAGCACATATCTTTAGGCTCAAAGGAATGTATGGAACCCGAGGAAGAGGGGACTCTAATACAAGTGAGGTCATTAATCACAGCTAAGGTCTGATTTAAATGTACATAGTTCTGTACCTTCACTTCTTGATCTAAACACATATCTACCTCCCCAATCATAGCCTAAAATGGTTGCCTGTACACAATTTCATAGGGACTCAACTGAACTCCATTTTGAGGAACCACCCTTATCCTGAGCAGAGCAATAAGCGAAGCTTAATGCCAGTGGAGATGATCTTCTTGACACAGTTTGGCTGTATTTTTCTTTAAGGTCTGATTCATCTCTACTTTCCCAGAAGCCTGAGGTCTCCACACTGAATGGAGTCTTCACCTGATTCCTAAAATCTACTAACTTTATGTGTAATTTCTGAAACAGAAGCAGGTTCATTATTGTTCTGTATGCTGCCAATTAGGCCAAAGCAAGGAATTATTTCCTTCTGTAGGGCTTTCACTATTTCTGAGGACTTCTCAGGTCTAGTAGGGTATACTTCTACCAATCCTGAAAAGGCATCAACAAAGACTAACAAATATTTCCATCCTCAGAACTTCAGTATCTGGGTAAACTCTATTTGTTAGTCCTCAAATGGGCACTGTTCTTGGTATTACTTCTTTCTTCTTATGGAGATCCGTCTTTGGGTATTCTTCTGGCATATAACACATCTAACTATTGTTTTCCTTATGGCTTTAGAAATTCTAGGACCTGTGAGTCATGGTTTAATATAGGTGGTTAATGAATCTGTTCCATAGTGAATGGACTCACTATGCAAATGCTTCATAACTAGCTCTATTTAATGTTCAGGAAGCAATATACTGCTTTTCTTATTCTTTCTCCATTTACTATTTGGGCCTTCATCAAAACCCAAGCTCTTAGCTTTATGTAAGTTTGCAGTCAAATATTCAGGGTCAAAATGTGACAAATCTAAAGCAGATACCAAAGGCATTATAAGTGTACTTTTAGCAGCTTTTTTTTTGCTGCTTGATTGGTCGATTGTTTTCTCTAGCCACTTTAGTGTCCTCTTTCTGATGCCCCAGGTAGTGCATAACTGCCACCTGTAAAGGTACCTGAACAGCTTCTAATGATTTTTAAATGTCTCTTGCATGCTTAATTTTCTTTTTGTTAAATATTAACAGTCTTCTTTCCTTCCAGATGGAACCACATGCAGGAAAAATTAGGAAAGAACACCTTAAGTCAGTATATACATTCACTTTCTTTTCATGCGACAATTCTAGTTTAAATCATTGCAGTCAGTTCAGCTTTCCGAGCAGCAGTGAGGCCTTGGCCTCTATTGTTCCTTCCAGACTCACAACTGCAGACCCAGCCATTCTGTTTCCTTTTCCCATATGACTGCTTTCATCTGCATATACAGTACAGTCTGCCTCTTCTAGAGGATGGTCCTGCAAATCAATTCTGCTAGAATGTTCTTCATCAATTATTTCAGCACAGTCATGCTTTAGCACAGCCAAGTCAGAGTTTGGGAGAAGGAAGGCAGGATTTAACTTACAATTTTGAGGGAGACATTGGGATTGTCAAGAACAATTGCTTGGTACCTGCCCACTCTTCCAGCAGTAAGTCACAAATTTCCTTTTGTTTTAGCAGGGTCAACAGTTGGTGTGGTGCATAAATGGTGAATAGCTGTTCCAAGGAAAAGTTTTCAGCTTCCTATAAAAGCTCACAGGTGGTTGTCCCAGCTCTCAGGCAAGCTGGCCACCTCCAGAAAGTATGATCTAGTTTCTTTGACAGGTATTCTTTTAAGAAACTCAAAGGGGTCCTCAGAGGGCTTTTGTTGTATCCTATGTTGCATACTCAGAGTTTTATGCTTAGGGATTCCTTTCTTTAGTCCCTCAAGGATGCATATCTTATAATACTCTAAGAGAAGGAGGCCATTCTCATTAGTTGCCAGTTGAGCTCAGTTAAAAGTATTGCCTTAGTACAGTTGGGAGCCTCATCTGGATTTTCTTGGTGCAGTCTCCATGCCTCTTCATTTGCTTTATCTAGTACCACCTTCTGCTCATCCTTCATAAGCAAAATATTCAGTAAGGCTCATTCAGTAAGTACCAGTTGCGATGGTAGATGGCAAAAGCTGACATAACTAAGTCAGTCATTTTAGTAGGGTCATCTCTATAAGATTTTCCAGTTTAACAGGTCATATGTAGAAAATGGAGTATATGCCCAATAATATCTAGCAGACTGGCCTCTGGCCCTACTCCCACTGGAAGTCTTCACATGAGATATTGCCCTGCCCCAGTAGGGGCTTGTCTTCTACCAAATTTGGATCCCTGGTGGGCTTGGGATGGAGAGACAAGTTCAGGCTCACCTCCTTCAGCTCCCTCAGTTGGGTAAGGAGGAAGATCCCCCAGGGTCGGAGGGGCTGTGGGAACCCCGACCATGGTTACAGCAGCCATGACATCCTGATCTTCCTGGACCCTCTCTTCTGAGCTTCTGCTATCTGCCACAGGTAAATTCCCTTTTTTTCTGGGCCAGCAATCTATTTCCTTTTAGTCCTGCATCTACATCTTTATTATATAAAGTCATAAAAGCCTGTACATAAGGTATTTCATTTCCCCGATCTTTGACAAAGCAACTCTAATTGCCATGTAGTATAGTAATTTAAAGACCCATTCAGTGGCCTGGACTCTCTTGAGTCCAAATTATACATAAGCCAAGTATTATTGTAATAAAAACATTCCATTTTTAGCCATAGGTTCATAAGGTCAAAAAATCAGTCAGATTTAGCCTCAAAGGGCTGTTTCCAGAATGGAGGATCCCCTGCCCATTCTACCAGATGGAGTACTGTAACATCACACAAACCAAAAGGCATCTTAATTTCTGATGACCATTCTAAATTGTAATCCAGGACTGTAATCCTAAACCAGCAATTCAATTGAAAGTGAAGGCAATGAGGAATGCCCAGAATTGGAGAAGGAGAGTCCCCACTGAAATCATTTGACAGCTGCTAACCAGTCTCCAAATCAGCACACCCAGGACCCCCAATCAGGGCAGCCAATGGAATACCCTGTCAAATAGACTTACTGGAGAGTCTTCAAGGTGTTCCCCCAGAGTCACCAGAAAATGAAACTGGAAAAGTCAGCATTTGTGCTGCCTATCATTACCAGAACAAATAATTAGAAACAAGAATTGAATCTTTATGGCCACTTTATTCAAATGCTGGTGATATGAGAAGATGGCAGGCAATGTACTCTAAAAACCATGTTAACATCTCACCTCAAGCTGACTTAATAATGAGAAGAAAAGGGTAGGTAAGTGGTTTGGAAAAAGGTTAATCAGATAAGAATTGCAGTCTGGCAGCAGTTTTCCTACTATTTCTTTATCTACTGATCAACAATTTTTTAATCTGCATCACAGACATTCTCTCCCTGGAACACAATGGCTCAGATATTATTTCATCACTTGCAGATGCCCTGGGACACAAAAGTTGACTTGCTTGTTGACCTTCTGGAATCATGTAGGTCAGGGGTCCACAAACCCCAGGCTGTGGACCAGTACTGGTCCATGGCCTGTTAGGAACTGGGCTGTACAACAGGAGGTGAGCAGCGGGCAAACAAGCAAACTGTTCACATTACTGTCTGAGCTCCATCTCCTGTCACAGTGAGCAAAGCTTCACTCACATTACCTCCTAAGCTCTGTGCTTCTGTCTCCCCACCCTATCCCACTATCCATGGAAAAATTGTCTTCTGTGAAACCAGTCCCTCATGCTAAAAGGTTAGGGACCACTGATGTAGGTTATATATTCTAGTTCCTGGAACAATGACATTATGCCTGCCTGCTGCCTTTCAAGAGCCAAGCTGCACTGGCCCTTCCAGTGACAACTTTATCCACAGGGCAGAGCTGGGATTCCTGGCCTTTTTGAGTCAGACATGGCATAGGGAAAGTTGGGGAGGAATTGCCTCCTACACCCTCCAGCATTTATCTAGTGGTACTGGAAACAACCAAGCTTCTGGGGATTTGTGGCCCACCTATAACAGGACTCCCTTCTTCCTGAGGCTCTGTCTATTCTTCCTCTGTCCTTCCTTCCATTGCATGAACTCCTCTCGTGGTCTGGCTGAGGCTACCTCTGCCACCTCTCAGCTCAGATCATAAGGAATCCTCAGAGTCTGCACTGCAAAGCCCAGAGAGGAGGGCATATACATATGGAAGAGGGGCCATGGTGTGGCCGCTGTAGACAAGGCTCATAATAAGTTAGTGATTGTGTAAGTACTGAGGCCAGTGAGGCCCTACCCTGCCCTATGGACAAGGCCACACCACCTCAGCCAGGGCCCACACACCAGGCCAATAAGAACATGAGAAGAAGCAGGCTTAGAGGCAGGCTCAGGGAGCACAGTGAAATAGGCAACACGCTTGCATAGGTCTGAAGAGTCTTGCCAATATCCAATGCTATGTTAGCACCCATTTGGGGGTAGAACAGAGGGTGGGGAGAAGCCCATCAGAGCAAGATTGCTGGGAGCTAAGTTCATCAGAGAGGCCTCCTTGGGCTGTGGCAAAATGGGGTTGATCTGTTCCATGCCAGGTGGGCAGGATTTGGATGACAGTGGGAGAGTAGGAGGGAATTCAAGGTGAAGTAAACCATGCAGATACTGTGGCCACTTTCATAGTGATGGGCTTGGGAGCAAGCAGGGCCAAGTGGAGCAGCAGATGTGGAGGGTGTGCCAGATCTGACCCACGTTTTACCCTCTCTCTCTTTTCTTCCTTTTTTTCCTCTTCAGGGAACGTATATCTTCACATTTCTCTTGAGCTCCCGGGTCTTCATACCCCCTCATGACCTGCTGGCCCGTGTGAGGCAGATCTACCTGGAGCAGAGGCAGCAGCTGGAGGCTGGGTCTGAGAAGGTAAAGGTTTGCTTAGCACATGCTGCCTGTCTCTGTGTCCCTGGCTAACACTCCCACTCCTACTCCAAGAGAACATGCTCAGAGTGAGCTGCAAGACAGGGTCTGGCCCAGGGCCCTCCCTGATGGCAGCATACCTGGGACATGGCTCACCTCCCAGGATGTGGAAGTAATTGCTGTTGGCATTCACAACCCCTCCCAAGGAAGGGCCCCAGTGAACTGTTCTGCCTGCTGTCCTGATCAGTGCTGGGACCTTCCAATGGAGGCCTGACTACAGTTGATGGAAAAGAAGCCAAAGGGGCCTAGGTCACTGCCTCCTCAAAAGGGTCAGGTAGCAGCACCCTCAGGTTGGTGCCTGCTCATTTGAGTATTCAGTGACTCAAACAGGGCTGTTTGCCACTATTGTCCCTTCTGATCAAGACAGGCTTTTGACAGTCAGGATGGTCAAGAAACCACAGCTCAATTCTGAGGCCATGGGTGTTGGGGTGAGGTTTGAGAAGCCCAGGATTTGGTGCAGAAGAGGAGGTTGTGAGCATGCTGTGAGAGCTGGCAATGCAGGCTGTGGCACAGCAGGGCCTGTCCCTGTTTCAATGGCCTTCCCCACCATCTTCCTACCATGAAGCTGAGCTCTGGAGGGTTTGCAGCAAAGGTCTATAAATGCCTGTGCCTTCTCAGAGTCTCCTCTTCAGAGGGGCAGTCTTGGGGTTCTGCAGGGCAGAGATGGGGACCAATTCTGACAAAAACCTTGCCATCAGGAAAGGTTCCTGAGGGACAGGTAGAAATAACCCAGAACAGGGTGTGTGGGCATGCTAAGAGAGAGGAGCTGGAGCTGAGCCTGCCAGACTTTGTCCATGGTGATATGCTTGGCTGGGACTCTGATGGGGCTCTGGCTCCTGCTAAGTGTAGATGCAGTCAGCAGTTGAAGGAAGTAACAGCAAAGCTTTCTGGGATGTCCATGCACTAGACTCTGGCCAGAGGCAGTGTGAATGGGATCATAAGGCTGGCTAAGGGAGGCTCTGCCAGGTGTGGTAAATCATCACTAAGGGTTCAGCTGGAGGCTTGGGGCAGCCAGAGTCAGGCAGGTTGGAGGAAGCAGAGATGGCATGGGAGGTACAGGGCTAGGGAGTTGGGTCCTCTAGGAGCTTGGCCCTGAAGGCAGTTGTGGTCATCCTGGAATGATCCAGGTTAGACAGAAATGGGCAGGTAATAAGGGAGGGCAAGAAAAAAGTGATGGTGGCACAGGAGCTGGCAGAGGTGATGGTGGTGGTAGTGGTGGTGGTCGTGGGTCCATGTGGGCATTTCAGGGGGATGCTTCAGCCAAGTATTTGACACTCCCTTCTCTCCTCTCCTGGAGCCACAGCAGGAGTGTCAGGACCACTTTTAATGACACAAAACGGGGAGGAGGCTGCCTCCATGTGTCTGTGTTCCTTCGTAGTACTTCTTAACCTGCTTCTACTGAGAGGAGACAGGCAAGAGTCTCTTATTTATTGTTAACGAATTTGCTTGGTTTTCACTGCATTCTTTTTTATGAGTAATTTCTAACTACAAGAAATCGAACTGTTTTTCTATGCCATGGTAGTGATGGGGCAAGTTTTGTGAAGATGAATATACTTAAATTTTAAAAAAAAGAGCTGAATTAATGGTGCCAACTGATGGTTTTGGCATCAATTTGGTGCCAACAAGAATCCTCATTTTGGGGTGTGCTGAAGAAAGAAACTTTATTCAGTGTAAAACAGTTCAATTGTGATACAGCACAGCTGTGAAAATACCATGGCTATGGAAAACTCAATAGTGTTACAGCTCAATTATGAAGCAGCACAGCTATGAGGCAGCTCCGAGGTGCTCTGGCCAGCTTTCTTTGGTGTTTCAGCTCCAGCCAGGGAAAAATGCAGCCTTCATTTGCACTGGAAAGGGAAAGTATGCCCCCTAAGAAAGAGGGGAGCTCACTTTATATATAGAGAGAAGTCCCCACTCCTGTTCCCTGATTGGCCTGTCCTTGTAAATGAGTACTCCAAATCCTTACACTTTGATCCAAGAAAGCATTGTCCTGATTGATGAGAATGGAGTTGCTCTGGTGGATGAAGATGCTAATGGAGATGGATATAGCTACAAAGCTCCAATTGGATGGGGAAAGCCTCAGTCCAATTGGTTGAAATAGGATTCCAGTAACTCCTTTAATAGGGTCTGGCTCACATGGCAGAAACACAGTGTCCACAGGCAGTTCAGTGCAGGCTTCTCCCTGAAGCATGGCTGTGTGACAGGCCCATTTGGAAATAGCTGCTAAGCTGTTTTTAAAAAAATTTGGGCCCAGTTAGCCACCAGGAGTCCTTCTTGGTAGGTATCTTCTTTCTCAGGTTCCACAAGGGGAATACGAAACAAAGCAAGTATGACAAAATTCCAGGAGGGATGGCTGGGGGTTGTTAGTGCCCCAGCACAGGGGTCCTGGGGAGTTAGCACTTGCCATCTTGTTGCTTATTCTGTTGGCTCAGGACTCACTCTGTGCCCACCCCTCCAGGCCATGTTGAAGACCTTCTCAGCCAAGATTGTGCAGCTGCTGAAGGAGTGGACAGAGGCCTTCCCCTGTGACTTCCAGGATGAGAAGGCCATGGCCGAACTGAAGGCCATCACCCACTGGGTCATGCAGTGTGATGAAGTGAGGTCCTCCCTCAAGTCTGGTGGAGCTCCTTTGAGTGTTGCAGGGAGAGATCCTTAGAGGCAACTCTGAATGTGATCTTCCCTGTCACTCCCCATGAGGACTACTGGGTGCCTCCATTTTGTCATCTCCCCTACCTTGGTCAGCAGTGGGCCAGACTTGCCCTTGACAAGTGGGGAACTTGAGCAGTGGGGTGGGCCTCACCCTAAGAATGTGTAATGAGCCTAGGCCCCACCCTTTCCTGGACTCTGTGTGGGTGGAGTGAGGGTCTAGTGAGAAGTGGAAGAGTCTACCTTTCTTGGCTCCCAGCCTGCTCTTGCCTTCAGTGGAGACAGGAACCTGGAGAACCCAGGGGGAGCCTAGGCTGGCTATGTCTTGACGATGAAGGTGTTCCATGTGTTCAGCTGCTCATAGACAGCTCAGAAAGCCCAGGGAGTGCTTTGGGAAGGACCAGTGCTGCTCCCATCCAGAGAGTGAAGACTCCTGACTGCAGAGTAAACCTTTCTAGATGCCTTCATCCCTCTTGCTGTAGGATGGCCCTGAGAAGTAGCTCAGCTAGCTGCCTTCACTCCCAGTGAAGTTATGTTTTTCAGACCTAGAAGCCTAGCTCTGACCCTGCTCTGGCCCTCAGATTCCTTTTTCACAGGACAGCTGACTAAGCCAACATTTCCAAAAGGCATCAGAGGAGCCCACATTTACTCTTCTCTGTCAGGTCCAAGTGCTCATGGCAGGTTTGGTTAGGGCTATGGGCTCAAAATCAGGCATATCCCCAGGGATGAGATGGGTCCCTGCAGAGAGGTGGTGGTCTTCTTGCCATCTCGTGCAGGCGCCTCCATTGCTTCCTGACCTCCACAGGAGAATGGCACAGTGAAGAAGGCCATTGCCCAAATGATGCAAAACCTGCTGCTATCCCTGGCTGCCCGGAGCCAGCTTCAGGAGCTTCGAGAAAGGCTCTGCTCACCAGCTGTAGACAAAGGGCCCATCCTGAAGGCCAAGCCACCAACCACTCAGAAGGATATCTTGGGCGTGTGCTGTGACCCCATGGTGTTGGCCCAGCAGCTGACTCATATTGAGCTGGTCAGTGTTGCCATGTGCCTGCCCAGGGAGGGTCTGAGGTCATTCACTTATGCTCATCCAGAGCCACTAGACCCCCAGTGTCTTTCTCAATATAAGCATTGCAGGGCTGCCCTCACTAGGCAGACTGGGGTTTCAGGTAAACCCTGCTTGCCAGCCCTACTTGCCATTGCCTCCAGCTAGTGTGTGGCCACCTACATAGCAGGTTTCTCTATGCCTGGTGCCTAGGTCCCCAGAAGCACAGCAGCCCTGTTTTAATGGAAGGGGCTGAGCTAGTAAGGTCTGAAGTGACCCCAGGATGAAAGACCAGCCTGGGAGGAGGTGAGGAGCTTCAAGGGTCAGAGCTAGTTCCTCACCCTGTCACAGCATCCTGCCTGTGCTCTGGGCTGGGAAGTTCCCCTGTGTGCAGCAGTCATTGCCCTGAGGCTTCTTTCTTGCTCTCTTGAAGCTGTGTTTCTCTCCTCTGGGGGAGGGCCTATTACTCCCTGGAGTACTTTTGGGGGTGCCTGGGCAGGGCCAGCCCACTGATTAGGTGCTGTAGTCAAGGAGGGACCATTGTACACCCTTGCCAACTAGTTCTGGCTGCTGCTTTGAACACGTCCTACACCTCAAGGGCAGCAGGCTTACCACCTCCTGTGCTATCTCCCCCATGGCAGGAGAGAGTCAGCAGCATTCACCCCCAGGACCTGATGAAAATCATCAGCAATATGGACACTCCAGACAAACACAGGGTAAGGAGCTGTGGCCAGAGGATTGGCCTGGAAGCAACATCCTATGCAGGGTGGCTGGGGACCCCACCAGCACATCTGAGTACCTCTGGACTGTCTGACCTCACAACCCCATGGATGTGGGTCTGTCCTCCTGGCACCTGCTCCAGGGGTTCAGTGGATGGCCACATAGAGTAATACATGTTGTGAGGGGTCCAACACTCCCAGGGCCTCAGGCAGCCAGCCTATCCTCCAAGGCTATCCCTGGGCATCCTGGAGACCCAGGCTGGCCAAGGGGACCTGTCCAGTTGCCTCCATCCAACATCACTTTCAGTTTCTTCCTCTGGCCAAGGTTCCTGCTTCTCCATTTTGGGGCATGGCTTGGCAACACCCTCTGGCAGCATCCTTGGTCTTCCTGTGACCTGCTGTGTTCTCCCCAGTGCCAAGAGGACCTGACCAAGACCTACAGCCTGGAGGCCTATGACAACTGGTTCAATTGCCTCAGCCTGCTAGTGGCCACTGAGGTGTGCCGGGTAAGCACTGCACAGTGGATATGGACAGCTCATAGGCTGTCCATATGAGGCTCCTGCCCCCTCAGATACTGAAACAGAAAGTAGAGATAAGAAGCCTCTATTAGTAGGGCCTCTATTGGTGGGACTGAGCTCCACCCCACCATGCCCAACAGTGATGAATTCAATGATGACTGAGACCATCAGTCATCAAAGAGTGATTTTGCATCAAAGAGTGCACTCGTAGCCCAGCACAGGGTCCCTTAGTCCTCTAAGCCTGCCCTCCTTCCTTTATCCAGCATCAGAGATGCCACAGCTGCATTTCCTGCCTCTGCAGACTGCCAGCATCCCCCATCCCCTATCCCTGGTCTAACAGCTTTGTGGGCCCTGGGGCAGATCCAGCCAGATGCTCTTCAGGGTCTGCTGGTGTAGGAGATGACCCCATCTTGGGGCTCATGCTGAGGCCGCTGGTTGCTCCCCAGGTAGTGAAGAAGAAGCACCGGACCCGCATACTGGAGTTCTTCATCGATGTGGCCCGGGAGTGCTTCAACATTGGAAACTTCAATTCCATGATGGCCATCATCTGTGAGTTCTGGGACTGGGGCTTCCAACCCAGCTTCTGCGTAATCCATTTCCCCATCCTGACCCTACGTGCTGTCCTCTGCAGCTGGCATGAACCTCAGTCCTGTGGCTCGGCTGAAGAAAACATGGTCCAAAGTTAAGATGGCCAAGTTCGATGTCTTAGAGGTAGGCACCCAGCCTCATCCTGTGTTGGCTTAATGAGGAGGGCCTCCCATCACATTCTACCTACCCCTTGCTCAGGACCTGCTACCTGCAGTGCTGGCTGGTGTGGACTGTTGAGCCTACCTGACCTGGTCACACTGGGGAGGCCAGTAGCTTGAGCTTTTCTCAGCCTTGACTTCAGATAGATCTGGCATCTTCTAAAGCGAGTTTTGGGGAGTAGTAAAGAGTTTGACAAAAATGAGCCCATGAGACCTGTCGATTGATGCTGACTAAGCAGAGATAAGCTTTTCCTGATCTAACTTTTCACAGCACTAGATCATCTGGGTGGCCAGAAGCTGACAGGTAAGCTCACTCACAGCCTTACACAGATGTGTTTAATCATAGAACCAATTTTCTGCAAACATGTGTCTGTGGAGCCAGTCAGGTTTGGGAGCTGTCAGTGCAAGCAGAGGGGCAAAGGAAGGTTTTGAAAGAACAGAGGAGAGACCCAGGCTCAGAAGGGCAAGGAAGAGTTGTGTGTAGGCTGTGAGACTTATCTATAGCTTTCCCAATGATGCTTAGACCCAACCCTGAAGGCCTTGGCCCTGTGCTCAGGTCAGCACCTCTGGGCTTCCCTCCTGGAAAGGAGGCCTTTTCTGGGTGACAGTCAAGTTTCCCAGGGGGGAAGTGCCTTCTCCATCAGCTCATTCTCTGCTGTGCCCTGCAAACGGGTGCAGGGGGAGCATCACCCACCATGTGTGTCCTCCCTCCTATCTGCCCACAGCACCACATGGACCCATCCAGCAACTTCTGCAACTACCGCACAGCCCTCCAGGGGGCCACACAGAGGTCCCAGACAGCCAACAGCAGCCAGGAGAAGATTGTTATTCCTGTGTTCAATCTTTTTGTTAAGGACATCTACTTCCTGCACAAAATCCATACCAACCACCTGCCCAATGGGCACATTAATTTCAAGGTGAGCTCAGCCCCAGTGTGGTCCAAGGGGAGGGGCTGGCTGTCCCAGCATAAGGCAGGGCAGACCTCCCAGCCTTGCCCCAAGGCAGGAGGAATCTATCTGTGCCAGGAGAGCAGCAAAGCCATCCCCCTGTTGCAGAAGGGCCTTTAAGACTGACATCTACAAGGTAGGTCACACTATTGACATTGAGATGTGACAGCGGCACTGCCCTTCTGGGTGGATGATCTGATTATAGAGCTTGGAGCCACAGGGAACTTACATTCATCCAAGATGCTGGTCCCAGCAGTGACCCAACCAGGGAGACAGAGAAGGGGCCACCCCTGGGGGTTTGGGATTTGGGAAGGCTTTAGGCAAGAAGGACTCGAGCATGGAAGAGGAGGCAGCAGAATTCCAGATGTAAGTGACCAGCTGTCTGGCCAAAGGCATGAGGATAGAACAAAGGTGTTTGGGGAGGTATAGGGAGAGCTAGATTGTCTATTGTTCACCTCACACAGGTAAGGAATGGGAGGGAGTTACAGATCCCCACACAGGCCCCCAAAGAGTGACATTATGACATGTGCTTGTTGGTGGTGCTGTGCTGGTTGTGGCTGGGATACTTGCCTCATCTTGGAGTCACAGATGGGGCCCTATTGGGGTCCCTGCTGTCAGCCTGATGGCCCAGCAGAGGGCAGGACAGAGTGTCCTTTGAGACACCTGCTGTGCTGACACTGCACAAAGTGCTTCAGTGGCCATGAAGTCAGTTGTGCAGTCACTGTTTCAACCTGCTGGGACTAGAGAAAAGAGCAGCAGGCAGGCCCCAGAATCTATATCCCCTGCCCTTGGCCAAAGATTTCTAGCTTATGGTGACAAGTGAACATCTAATTTGTTGTCTTCCCATTCAGAAATTTTTGGAGATCTCCAGACAGATCCATGAGTTTATGACATGGACACAAGTAGAGTGTCCCTTTGAAAAGGACAAGAAGATTCAGAGTTACCTGCTTACAGCACCCATCTACAGTGAGGAAGGTGAGGCTGCCTCTGCACAGCAGCAGCTTCCTCCCCACACAGGTGCATGTGCCTGTCCCCCTGACTCCCTTGGGGGCTGGCCTGATCAATACCCCCATGCTACACAGGGGAAGTTCAGCTCACAGGGTGAGTTCACAAGGGCAGGTCATGGGCAGCTGACAGATAAAGGATAAGGACATGACGAGACCAGGCTTCAGAGGCCACATGAGAGAGCCAGAATGGGTTTGGGCCAGTGCTACAGAACCAGGCAACTTCTCAGTGTCCCTGAGCAGGAAGCTAGGAGTCCTAGGCCTGATAGATACATGGACAAGTTCAGGCCAGAGGTCACTATACCATTTGGCCTAGGAGTTACTTCTTAGCCTAACTACATCCCTACAATGACAGTTTGAGAAGGGATAACTGATATAATAAGTAGGCTGAGTGAATGTGGACATGGGTTCTGAACAGCTTCCCTGTCTCCCAGCACTGTTCATCGCCTCCTTTGAAAGTGAAGGTCCTGAAAACCACATGGAAAAGGACAGCTGGAAGACCCTAAGGTAAGGAAACTAAGGGGACTGTCCCATAAATCCCCAAGATTGGCTCCATGCAAGGAAGCGAGAGTACTGGGGGTAGGGTGGGAGTGGGCATAACAGATGTGCCCTTCTGAAAGACAGCTGAAGGCCCCTCCACACAGCCCAGGGAAAGGAAGGTATCTTTAGTACAGCTGCCAGTCATAAGGAGGCTGAGGATCTGGAGTTTAAATGTCCCTGACTCCTCCCCTCCATGACCAGTTCCTGGAGACCAGGCCTCCACTGAAAGCATGAGCCTGCCCTCTGCTGGCTTGGGGAAAGGCCTGCCAGCACCTGACTATTGTGCCCTGTCCACCTTTAGGGCCACTCTCCTTAACAGAGCCTGAAGGTGTGGATGCAGCCTGCAGACACAGGATGAAGCACACCTGGGAACCAAGCTTTAACCTTGATATGGGTTGAGATGAGGTGGCCTCACTGGTTGGGGTGCATTTTGTATATAACTTTTATGGGAAAAAATGGTAATTATTTCATTCATCAACCTTTGGCACTTTTTTTGTTTATTTTAAATAACAGGGCAGTGCCTTGGTTTTGGGAGGGGTAGGGAAAGAGTATCATGGGAGATGGAATCCATGATAATATCTTGGTCTAATGAAATGTAGATTTTTATTTTATACTTTTGATTATATTCACATCTTATGAAAAATATATTTAAAATAACAACCAAAACTAATGTCAGTCCTGCCTGCTTGGATGTCCTTCCAGTCAGTGTGACGTCAGGGCTAGTGCCTTACAGGGTACTGGAGGGCTGTCTCCCACTCTGCTCTGCAAGAGCTGCAAGAGGCTCTGTGAATCCTCAGCCCTAGACTGTAAGCACCTGCTCTCAAAGCCTGGGCCACTGAGGCTCCAAGTTCCATTGAGGCCTTGGGAGGTCAGGAGATCTCATTTGTAGACTTCTTGGAAGCAAACCTCTGACCACAGGCTTTCCAAAGTTTACATTCTCCTTTTCCTTTATCAGGGATTTATGGGGTTCGAGGGGCAGAGGGACACCTGGCAGTATATTTTTCTGTTGGAATATGTCTGGCAAATCTTTCTTCAACTACATTTTAGAAAAACAGAAAATCTGAAATAATGTCAGGTGTGGATAGTTGTGGAATTGTCAGTTTTCCAGGCTGTAACTGGAAGATACACTTAGCTGTAAGAAAGAGCATACGGTATTGAGGATGGGGACACTTAAGCCATTTTCAAAACCCTACTACCAAGTGAAAAGAAGCAACTCATAGACCAGTATTCCAGCGGACAGTGGCTCCTCCCCTCTAGGTGGGGGCTCTGCTAATGAAATCTGAAACAGAAAATTAGCCAGCAACTTCTGGAGCCCACTTACACACAATTGCCCTAAAATTTGGAGGTTTTTTTCACTCCCAAACTCAAGGAACACACTCATTCCTGGCTGAGGGACAATGATTGCCCTGTTTCCTAGAAAGTGGGAGGTGGGCAACTCATGCTGACTCAATCTTCCTTGCAGGAGGCTTTGTTTGTGAGTAGTTTGGAACTGCTCACCCTGGTCTCTCTGTGTATGCCTGGCTTCTGCAGGAGCCTGCAGTTGGAGGCCTGTCACTTGCTAATTCTCACAGCTCCTACGAGAGCCTGGACATGTGGAGCAAGGCCTCAGGAAAGAGGTGGCTCTGAACCACTGCTGATGTCACCTTTAGCTATGGGAGGAGCAAGAATATTTACACTGTATTGTCACAGTGTTTTTGCACCTTTTAGATGTTTTAGATAGTACATGTTGTATATTGATAGTACATATTGCTTTGCTTATGTATTTGAGATAAAGACTTGAAACTCAAGAGTATATATTTGGAATATGACATTAGAACATTTTCTGTACATGTGTTATGAAGCTTTCCTATCACACACATTACTGGAGCCTCAGTTCTAGTGCCCACCTGGCACATTGTCTGTGTTTACCACTTTATTTTCTCAGTTGGATACATTTCCTAACTATACTGTTTTGGTATTGTGAGATGAACTTTGAGTATAAAGCTGCACTGTAACACAGTGTGTCAGTTGTTGATGTAACTGGACATATCTGCATCAATAAAAGGACACATCGCTCCCCTCATGTGCCTACTCTGTGTGGGGCTGGTAATGACAAACAGCTGTGCTGCAGGCACAAGGCAAGACTTCCAGGGTTCTCACAGCCTTTCAGGAGCAGCAAGTAGCTCTCATGTGCACAGCATATTCTGACAGTGGGCTTTCATGCACTAGAGCAGGGGTGTCAAACTCATTTTTACCAGGGGCTGTATCAGCCTTGAAGTGCCTTCAAAGGGCCAAATGTGATATTAGTACTGTATAAATGTTAACTACTCCTTAACTAGAGGCAAGGAGCTTGGCACTGCCACCAGATAGAAACAAGGTGCCTGGCTGGATAAAACAAGGTGGAGGGCTGGATTCAGCCCATGGGCCTTGTGTTTCCCACCTGTGCATTAGAGTCTCGGCTATTTCTGTGTAGGAACCAGTTATGTAGCTGTGTGGCTAGCAATGAGCATGGTGTACAGGTCCTAATAACATGTGATGACTGAATGCTACCTTTCACTTCACATACATTTCAGGAACAAATCTATGTTACAGATCAGCTGTGACTAGAAGATAAGCTAAGGCCATAGAAACTTCTGTGACAAAGCTAAGATTATTTGTGAAATATACACCAATTATACCCATAAGTAAAATGTGTATCAGATCACTTAGGGAAGCAAGACAGGCTACATGTAAGAAGATTTGAGTTCTGGTTTCCAGTTCCCAGCTGGGTACCCTTGGACAAGCTGTTTACATTTTCAAGTTTCTATCTTCTCTCAATTAAATTGGAATGACAATACTCTGTATCTCATAGGGTTGTTGTAATGGTATATGGCAGAAAGTGTGGCCCTGGTTCCTTAGAAGCAGTGTTAGCTGGGTACTCACAATGGCACCTCTGTTGACAATGAATGCCTTTCCTCTTGCGGAGGGCAGAATCTTCTGGAAAAGTGGAACAGAGGAATATAAGTGCCCTTCTCAAAGGAACAGTTGAAGTCTTGGTCAGTACAAATACATTCTAAAAACATTAACAAAGAGTCACTTAAATGTTGAATTTAACCCAATATATAAACTTCTCCACAAATTTGAAATTCAAAACTACTTTCTAAATGAAAAACCTACTACCCACCTACAGGCTGGTAACGTTAGATTATACCAACAAATTCCTATCTTAATTCCCAATACTGGAATTCATGATACCATGAGGAAGGTAAGAGCTGCCAGAAACCCCACAGAGATGTACCCATACATAACCCAAAATCTCTGGTATGGATCAGCAGCAGCATGCGGAGGAAATGATATCAAAAGTATGAGTTATGCACTTGTCCATTTCTAGCAGCATGAAAGACTAAGTCCTTGCCTGCTGAAATCAACTGATAAAATTATATGAAATTTAAAAAGTCCAAGTGGACACAGGAACCCAGAGGGGTTAGGGAAGCTTTGAAGCCAGCATTTACCCAGAGGAGAGACACTGAACTTCCACTTCAAGTCCACAGGGGGGATAGGGCCTGCTTCAGAAGAAGGGTCAAACAGGAAAATTTTCCATAAAAGCTGGCACCCCTCTGCACAATAGTGAGTTTGAAGTAAAATACTCCACCCTCCAACCCCACCAAGGGGGTTGGTTTTTAAAAAACCCTGTTTTGAACCTCAGCATGAATGAAGATGAGGAAAATCTTACCCCCGATAGTTTGTAACCATAAATCAGTGAATTTCATTAAATTGTGTAGCATAAATCACAGTGGTCAAAAAAATTTAAGCCAAGGATTTAGTTTAATGTGGCCCTAAAATAGCACTGCCCCTAAGTTACTTAGCAGAAGAAAACATTCTGACCTACGGTGTATTCTAGTTTAAAAAGTGTCTCCCCCTAGCTGTGTCTAATCTGTTAAACCCAAATGTTGGATTTTAAAAATTCATTTTAATTTCTAGAAGAACCAAATAGAGGTTCCTTCCCAAATCCATTTGGTCATAATTCTGAAGAAATTACAAAAATATAACAGACAAAAATAAGGAAAAGTGAGGGCTAGGAAGATGGTGGTGAGGTAGGTGGGAGCAGAGCCCAGTTCTCCCTGTGGCTAGCTGGAACACCTAGCCAATCTTCTGAGGAACAGAGTGAATAGCCAACAAAATCCCAGCTTATTTGAAGTTTGGAGGCAAAAGAATTGCAGAGTACATTGAAAAACCAGACGGTGAGGACATTGTGCTGGGAAGGTAAGGTCCCTGGGATCTGTGCAGGGACCAAAGCTGCTGCAGCCCCTGGCCCAGCACCTCCCACAGGATACAGGGAGGAGAGTTAGATGACCAGCTCCCTCCCCCTACCAGAGCAGGGAGGGCAGCCTGGCACCAGGAAGGACCTGGATGCTGGAAGTCACTGAGGGGAATAGAGACAAAGTGGGAGACACACAGAGGTGGGACAGACCTGATGGGACTGTGGACGCTGGCACCAGAGAAACTGAGGTGCCAGGCAACACCTGGAGAAGGGAGGAGTTGGGCCATGTCTGACCCTAACTCAGATAGTCTCCCAACTGGCTGGAAAGTTGGGCTGTGTGAAAAGTGGGGCTCTAGTAAAGAATGGTGGGTAGCTGCTTTGTAAGGAACTCTGGAGCAGCAGCTGACCCACCCTGGGGTTGATTTCAGCTGCACATGCCTAGAGACTGAATGGCTGAGCAGAACCACAAGTGCCAGCTTGTCTCCAGCTCCGTGAAAGATTGACTCACACGGAGTGCCCAGGGACTGAGTGGCTGATTTTAGCCTGGCAGCTCATGGAGGACCTGGGCCAGCAGAGGCTGGGAAACTGTGAATATTGCAACCCAGACCTGGTCTAAATCCCCTCACAACCATAGAAAGGGAGAAAAGAGAAGCCCAGCACCCTTCTTCCTGTGGCATCCAGGAAGACCAGCAAAACTCGCTGAACAGGTTTAAAGTCAGCAAGGGGCTTATTTTTTTTCTTTGTGGATCCTTTCACTTTTTCTTCTCCAAAGTGAGACAGTAAGATGTGGAGTTACTAAGGGTCCAGAGACAGATCAAAAGGGGAGCACAAGGCTAACCCCAAAAACTGAGAAACTGAGACAAATGTCACTTTGCTATGTCATAAAGCTGACATTTTATTGTCTATGTGTATTATTATCCTTTCATTATTTTTACTTTTATTAGTATTTTATTTCTCTTTCTTATATTTAGCTTTCCTCCTTTTATCTCTCTGTTTAATTGCATTGTTTGACTGGTTTTCTTTATTTTCTCTGTATTGTAATTTTCCTTCTTTCACTTCACCTGTGTTCCAATTACACACAACTCTTGATCGGGTACTTTCTATTCT